TTTTGTATTTTTCTGTAGAGATGGGGTTTTGGCATGTTGCCAGGCTGGGCTCAAGCAATCCTCCCACCTTGACCTCCCAAAGTACTGGGATTACAGGTGTGAGCCACCATAGCCCACCCCCATCCTCTTCTCAAACAGAGGAACTTAGAACACCTCAGTTCTACTCACAGGCACCATCTTGACTTTATGCCATTGCAGGTACATATATTGATTGCATCCTTGTTTTTCTGTGCATGAGTGACATCCAGTGACTGTCAGTTTCAGTTTACTCACGCACTTCCTGCTTCCTCTCATGCTTTATCCATTTCAGACGTACTGTGATCACTTTCATGATGCTTTGAGATCATTTCTTCAGAACTGAGGTGAAAGTGTGCCGGGGGCAAATTCTCTCTTTTATCATTTAAAAATTTTATTTATTTAGCCTTTTTCGTATAAACCATTTTTGCTAGGCCTAATATTCAAGGCTGAGCATGGCTTCCCCTGAGAATAGGCACGCTACTGCTCTACCGTGACGAGCTCCCGTGGCTCCTTTGAAGGTTCTGTCTTCCCGCTCGAATTGCTTCTGAGGTTTTTGTCTCTGGCATTCTGCAGTTTCACTATTATGCTTCTCAGTACATAATCTTTTAAAGCCTATAGACTAAATGACTGCCTGTGAGAGCTATCCTCCAAGATGGCACCCGATGACTCTCACCTCCTGGTATTCATGCCCTGGTGTCATCCCTTCTCACATTAAATAGGATCACCAGTGTATCCAAAAAGGAGACTGTAGAAACAGGGGAGTGTGACTTCCAAGGTTAAGTTATGGAAGTCATTGCGGCTTCCAGCTCACTCTCTCTCCAAGCGCTCTCTCTCTCTCCAAGCACTCACTCTGGGGGAAGCCAGCCACCGTACTGAGGATACTGAAGCTGTCCTATGGGGAGATGCACGTGGTGAGGAGCTGAGCCTCCTGCCAGCCCCTATCATGGACTCGCCAGTCACGTGAGTGAGCTGCCGTGGAAGCAGTCTCCAGCCTTCCTCAAACTTTGAGATGACTGAAGTGTTGGCTGCTATCTCAACTATAAGCTCCCGAGAGATCTCAAACCAAAGCCACAGCTAAGCAGCTCCCAAATTTCTAACCTACAGAAACTAAGATAAAAATAGTTACTGTTTTAAGTTGCTAAGCTCTGGGGAAATTTGTCATGCAGCAATGGATAACTAATACATGGCCAAAGGCTGGCTATGGTGGCTCATGCCTGCGATCCCCGCTCTTTGGAAGGCCAGGAGTTAGAGACCAGCCTAGGTAACATAGTGAGACCCTGTCTCTAATCTTTTTTAAAAAGTAAACTAGTAATACATTTCCAGAATCACCATATACATTTAAAATGAAATTTTCAAGATTTATGAAGTCTGTTTTTTTAAAAAACACTGAATTGTTTTTCAGAAGCCTGACACATTTAAAATGTTAAATCTTGCTGGGCGCAAAGGCTCATGCCTGTAATCTTAACACTTTGGAACACATGGAAGATCACATGAGCCCAGTTCAAGACAAAACCAGGCAACATAGTAAGACTCCGTCTCTACAAAAAATTTTTAAAAATTAGCTAGGCATGGTGGCACGCCACTGTGGTCCCAGCTACTTGGGAGGCTGAGGTGGGAGGACAGCTTGAGTCCAGGAGGTCCAGGCTGTAGTGAGCTGATATTAGAGAAGCAGGAGTCTAGGAGAGCCAGGATAACGTCACTTTATGTTCAACTCCATCTTGAGACTAATAGAGCACATTCCTTGCAGGTCACAACCATGGTCCTAAGACGTTTACAGCTAAGGAAGCAGCTTGGTAATGCCTACAAGGACAAACTCCTATAAAAGGAAGTTCAGATGTCCCAATACCCACAATAATATATGCTTTCAAGATAATTATAGTTACAGTTATGCTTTAATGTACTTGCACACTAAAATGTCAAATCGTTTTTAAATCAATAGAATAATAAATCGTTATGCTGTCAGCTCACCCACACCTAGGCACAGCTTAGTTTAGTCTTTACATAGATAAGACCTCGATGAAATAAAAACTTAAAGCAGGTCTGTTCCTCTGCTTGCTTGTTGAGGATGCCCTGCTCTGCAATGGAGCGGCTTTCGATAAATAATCTCTTCTCACTGCACTCTGCAGCTCACCTCGAATTCTCTCCTGCATGAGATCCAAAAACCCTCTTGGGGTCTGGATGGAGACCCCTTTTCCAGTAATGCTGTGATCATGCCACTGTACTCCAGCCTGTGACAGAGCAAGACCCTGTCTCAAAAACACACCTGTGAAATCTGCCCATCCAATATGATAAAAAATTTCCATGAGGAGCTCTACATGCTATTCAGTAACATTTTGAAGTGTTCTTCATAAAGGAATTGAAAAATAACAGGTCTATTTCTAAGAACTTCATGGCTCCTGTTGCTAAATTGAATAGTATCCTTTGTTTCCATTCCATTTTCTAGTTGTTTTTACTGTGTTGAAAAGTTGTGAATGGTGATCACATATCCAAACTCCCTCTTTTATCCATACTCACGTTTCTTAAATTGGATTTTCCAAGTAGGTAACATATTAGCTGCAAATAGTGATTTTCATCTTTTTAGATATTTATACATCATCTCATTTTCTTGATTTGTTGTACGGGCTTCGATTTCCAGAATACTGTTTATTTACTTTTTTGAGACGGAGTCTCCCTCTGTCGTCCAGGCTGGAGTGCAGTGGTGGAATCTCAGCTCACTGCAACCTCCAACTCCCGGGTTCAAGCAATTCTCCTGCCTCAGCCTCCAAAGTAGCTGGGATTACAGGCACCCACCACCATGCCCAGCTCATTTTTGTATTTTTAGTAGAGACAGGGTTTCGCCACATTGGCCAGGATAGTCTCCAACTCCTGACCTCAGGTGATCCGTCCACCTTGGCCTCCCGAAGTGCTGGGATTACAGGCGTGAGCCACCGCACCTGGCGATTTTTTTTAACGTCACAGTGGTATCATGCATCCATCTGCTTGCAGCTAAAATACTTCCACCGGTGGTCACTGCAAGCTCTTAAGAGCTCCCCTCTGTCAGGCTACAGAGATGTCCATCTCTTCCCACCTTATCCAGAACCTACAGGTTTCTATACTTCTTTTGTTCTTAAGGAAAGATACGGGAATTTATTAGTATTACTTTTCAACATCTATTGAGATAATCACGTGATTTTCCACTGGTTGTTAATGAACTTTATTTATAGATTTCAAAATTCCTTTGTCCTTGGGTTACAATCTTCTTTTATTTACAATTTCATTTATTCCATATACATTCATTGAGCACCTACTATGTGTCAGGCACTGTCCTAAGTACTGGGACAGAGCTGAGAAGAGACACGTGCCTGCTCTCCTGGCAGGTGGAAGTGTGCAGGACCCATCCTTATGGCTATGAAACTCAGCATTTCAGGTGCTGCTGGATTTGATCCAGTATTTACTCAGGATTTTTCAGTATATGCCCACAGGTAGACTGGCATATTGCCTTCTCTTTTTCCTTCTCTCCCTCTGCTCTCTTCTGGTACTAGTATTGGGTGATACCAGCTCCATACCAGAAGTGGCTCTGGGCAGGTGAAGCTTCACCAATGAGGATGACTGATTTCTTGTTTGGGAGTGCCCACCTGTAAAGTCATCTGGGCACCCACATTTTTTAGGGAAGATTCCCTGTCCTCAAACTAAAAACCTGCCAGTCAGCAGAGATGCACCCATGCCCCTTTCCACCCTTGGCCAACAAACTCATTCTTCCACTGCTCGCCTGCCCTCGGAGGCCTTCAGCCCACTCTCCTGCCTCCCAGCCTTGTCCTCCACCACCATAACCCATAGCCACCAGTCCATCTCTTGGAACTACAAATACAGCCTGGCTGCCCCCGCCCAAGAGCCACCGGGTCCCTGTGTCCTTGCAGGATGTGGGTCCAATACACACTCCTCCTGCACCCACATCCCTACCCCTTCAGACACAGTGCCCTGTCCCCAGCCCTGTGCAGGACAGAAGCCTCACAGCCCCTGGACCTCCTCTTGAGCAGCCCTCACTAGACAGGTGACCTATGTGTGTTTATAGTCTGGACTGCCTGTCATGAGATGTTTGCCTCCCAAAAGCCACTGCGTCTGCTGGTTTGGTCACCCCACTCCCCAGCACTTGACACCGTCATAGGGGTCTTGAAGGCATTTGGGCCTGAAGGACATGACTGAGAGGGTACAAAGGGACCTCAGTGGGCAGCCCTAGGAACACACGCAGACACGCCTGTGTGCATGGCTCAATGAGCTCCCCACACTGAACTGGCCGCATGACCAGTGCCAGCTGCCAAAGTATTTCCAGTGCCCAGGAGACCCTGCACCCATCTTGCCACAGCCTAGAGCCATCTCTGAGCCTGGCTTTGAACCTTCCAAAAGTGGAACCACACAAGTGGGGTTCTGGCTTCCTCTGCCCTCAGAGACCGTCCTGGGGCTCAACAGCTACATCCTATCAATCTCACTGCTGGGCCTGGCACAAGCCTGCAGCTCACTGTCCAGCAACAGAGACCAGGAGATGTTTCTGGTTTGAGGAGCCACAAGCAGAGCCTCTCCCAACATTTGTTTTTGTCAAATCCTCCTGACAGCTGACCCGCCTGGTTGGGAGGACGCCACCCCTGCTGGGGACCTTGCTTTCCCTCCCGCTTCTCGCCACCTTCAGCCTGGGGTGGGGGGCACTGGGCAGAGCTGAGGGAAGTGTGTTACTTGCCTCCTTCCTGGCCTTAGAAGACCTCTCTACAGAGCCCAGCAGAGGCCAGTGGCCCATGGTTCTGGAGGCAAGAGGGATGCAGGTCCACCTTGGTGCTCGTCCAGGGCCATGGGGGAAGAGAGCCTCCTGAGTTCAACCGTCTGTTTCTCATCAGTCCCCACTCAGCCCTCCCCTGAGGCTGCCCATCACGGCCAGCCTGGAGTTTCCAGGGAGAGCGGCCTCAGGTGGGCTGGGGACAGGAGGGTGGCCTTGGCCAGGGTTTCCTGCTTACCCAGTCCTGAGTCTGCAGTCCCTGCTGAGCGCTGCTCTGGGTACTGGGCTGGCCCCAGGATGCTGTCGGGCCCAGTGGGGGTCGCCTGTGCTCTTGGGAGAGGTGCGACTCCAGCTTCTTCCCCTGAGGGAACAGCTTCCTGCTGTCCATCTCTAGCCCTAGTAGGCTGCTTGTCCACACCTCTGAGATCTGGGGGAACGAGCAGCACGAGGTGGGGTGGAGCCCAAGGCCACCCATGTGCCCACCAATACCTGAGTCCCTGGGGGCAGACGGTGGCAGTGTCAGGGTCTGCTAGGGTCACCTTCCAGTCAATGGTCAGGCATCACCGACCCCTCTGGGGGGAGTGGATCCCCTCAGCTCCCGCCGCAGCTCTTCACACCAGCCTCCCAAACTGTCCTCTCTGCCCCTGCCGACTCCACCCCGGGAGGAGCCTGGTCACCCTTCGGCAGCCTCCCGCACGGACTCCACGCCTCTGCCAGGCCCCTCAAACGGTTCCAGGGGCATCAGTCCTCAGCCAGCACTGCGGGCACGCTCTCAAGGAAAGGCCCAGAGCTCTTGCCACAGCCCTGCTCCCGACCCTGAGACCTCCCCTCTACACGGCCCAGGCCTCACCCCAGGCCCAGCCCCGAGCCCTTACGTGCCCGCCCTCTCCGAGGGGGTGGGTCTGCGCGGCCGAGGTCTGCGGAGAGACGGGGGAGGAGGGCTCAGAAGGACACAAGCTAGAGGCCGGGGGCACTCTGGGGTTCGGCGGGGGGCGGGGCACACGGGAACGGCGGTCAGAGGTGGGGGGTACGCGGGCGTCCGAAGACAGAGGGAGGAGCAGGCCCGCCGCAGATGGAGGGGCCACAGGGGAACCGGTGAGGTCCACCGCAGGTGGAGAAGGCCCAAGGGGCCGGCACCTCTCCCGGAACTTCCGCTACGACCGGCCCCCGCCCCCGCCGGTTCCTCTTCCGGTCTGCGCTGCGCCTGCGTTCTGGTCTCCGTTGCGGCGGGTGGGGGGTGGGGGCGGCCTTGGGGTCCCAGGCGCATAAGCGGGTCTATGGCAGCTACCGCCCCGCGGGCTCTTCCGGGCGTCGGCCTCCGGGATCTCCCGGAGCACAGACCTGAACTTGGGGTTTGTCGGCCTGAGCCCCTTTCGCACCTGCGTCCTTGCCGCGGCGCGATACCGCTTCGGCCCGGGCCACTTCCGCGCGCGGGGCCGCAGGGCTGTGGCGGGGCGGACCCAGGACAGGGTGCGTGGGCGGGAGGGAGGCGCTGCTCCGCCGCGTGCCCCCAAGGGGTGGACGGCCGAGAGAATCACACTGCAGGCGGGGCCGGCCCCTCCAGGTTTATTAGTGTTGCATCAGCACCTTAAAATAGTCCACACGGTCACGTACGTGACGTTAGAATCCGTTCCCCAAAAAGCTATTTACATTAATCCCGGGTTTCATTAAAAAAAAGAAAAACTAGCAACACATACATCCTAGAAACCAAACAATGCACAATGAACCGCATGGGGGTCTGCAGAAACTACAGTGGTGCCTCTTTGGCCCGCAGGGTCAGACTCCAGAGGTGCCCAGCAAGCCCAGCTCTCAGTCCCCTGCAGGCCGCACACCCGCGGACGACAGGACAGGTCTCGGGGAGAGGGCGGCTCAGGAACAGGAGTGGGTCTGGCAGCCTGGCCCTCGGAAGAAGCGGCCTGGTCATTTTCATGAGGAATTCATTCCCGGAGGAAGGCGAGAGGCACTCAGGTCTTTCCATCTGGGAATGAGGACGGTGTGGCAAGGCTGCCAGTCCCCTGCAGAGACACCCCCAGCTCTCATCCAGAGGCCCCTCTCCTGCCCCAGCTCTGGCCGAGGCACTGAACCAGGACACTGGCCTGCGTGCCCAGAGACAGTGGCCAAGGGGACCAACATGGAAGAGGAAGGCAGCAGGCCAGATTGCAGGGGGGGACTGGCCCACAACTGGTCTGGGCAAGGGTGGGGTCTGTCTACGTAATAGTGGACAGTGGCCACAGGCCTGAGGGGCGCCTCTGTGGTGACTGATTAACCTTTGAGACGGATGGGGCTGAGCCTAGCTCTGCAAGGGGTCTCCTGTCCTGTGAGGCCAGTCCACGGCCAAGGTCTGGGGGGTGTGCACACCTCGCACACACACACCCCGCCCTTACCGCACTGGCTGTCAGATGGCTTTGGTTTCTAGTTGTCCTTGGTGGGACAGAGTGCTCCTCCATGCCCCCTCAGAACAGCTCTGTGAGGTAGGCAGGGGAAACGCGACCATCCTGTGTAACCAGTGGAAAACCGAGGCACAGAGGGCTGGCACAGCCCAGGTCTTGTCTGCCCAACCTCTCTGGTCCTGGGCATGGTGGGGGGGATGGGCCGTGGGGCTCTTGGGTGCAGGGCAGACCCACAGGCCAGCAGCAGGCACAGGGAGTGCCACCAGAACCCCCACCTGCTGGATGGAGACTCTGCCCATGCTCTCCCCTTTCGTGGGTTAAGGATGGAGCTGTGGAGCCAGGCGGGGAGGTTGTAGGGTAGGGAGGAGGGCTCCAGGAAAGGGGCTGCCCACAGCCAGGTTGCACTAGGCAGCCTCTGGCCCCTTCCTCTAAAACCTACTCCGAGGCCAGAAAGCCACAGCAAGGATGTTTCCACCTTCATCTCCCTACTGAGTGTGACCTTTGGGAAAGAAACTGCAAGAGCAGGCAGGATGTGGTGACTCATGCCTGTAATTCCAGCACTTTCGGAGGCCGAGGTGGGCGGATCACTTGAGGTCAGGAGTTCGAGACCATCCTGGCCAACATGGCAAAACCCCGTCTCTACTAAAAATACAAAAAATTAGCCGGGCGTGGTGGTGGGCGCCTGTAATCCCAGCTACTCAGGAGGCTGAGGCAGGAGAATTGCTTGAACCCGGGAGGTGGAGGTCATGAGTGAGCTGAGATCATGCCACTGCACTCCAGCCTGGGCAATACAGCAAGACCCCGTTTCAAAAAAAAAAAAAAGAAACTGGAAAAGCAGAAAAACAGCCCAGTGCGGGGGCGGCTGGAACGAGATGGTCAGGGTCCCACCTGTTTTGAGTGTTGCCGGGGTCAGAGGCCATCAGCCGGGGGCCCACACCCTCACCCTAGACCCCTCTCAGGGCAGAGCCTGAAGCCAGGATTCAATGGGAGGCCTTCCTACCCCTCCCCGACCCTGGGGTGTGCCCCAGGGTCCTGGTCCCAGGTGAACCTGGAGGCCCTGGTGTGGACGGGCTCTGGTTGGGAGGGGCTGGGGCTCTGCCGCAGCCCTGCACACAGGCTACCTCTGAGGCCTGAACCCGGGGCCTGAGGCTGCACCCCAGGTCACATCCTGGCCCCTCGCCACAACAAAAGCACCCTGTTCAGCCACCTCGGGGGGGTGGCCAGGAAGAGCAGGGGGTCACAAATAAGAAATATGGGCCATCTCTCAGGCCAGCAAGGGTAGAGACCCCTCCAGCCCAGGCTCGAGGCCCACCCTGTCCTGCGTTTACCAGCTTTCTGAGCATAGCCTTGTGCAGTGCTCCATCTTATGAAACCAGGCCAAGAGCCCCCAGTGGCGACTAGGGTCCCTGGGAGGGCCCCAGCTTCCCCAGCTCCTATGGAGACCCCAGAGTGCAGGCTTGCTGGGGAGAAGCAAGACTGACAGGGCAGGTGTTGAGGTCAGGGAGGCCCCTCTCCTGCTGTGTGGAGGACATGGAACCCACACACAACACGGGACCCAGCGCTCTCTGAGGGCTGTGGCCTGGAGAGCCTCCCAGGCCCTGCACAGGGTACCTGGCTGCACCCACGACTCCAGAGTGCCAGCCCCTCTGGTCAGACCATCCTGTTGGAATCTTCATAGGCCACAGTGTTGCAGCAAGTGACACAAACACACCTGGACGCCTGCCCCACATTCACCAAAACCTGAATCTCAACCCAAATACCCACATGGCTGGCCTCAGATATACCCACTGGGGTAGAGTGGGAGGAAGCGGCCCCCACCTCAGCCAACACCAGCAGCATCTCACTGTGTAAGAAGCTGGGCTCTGGAACATTTTCTGGGGCCGCCTGGGGCTGTGGAGGCCCCTGTGCTTGCTAAGTTTGGGACAGGGACTACACACGGAAACCTCACGGTGTTTCAAGAACAGCCTAAGAGTGGGGAAGGTGTGAGGCGGGGTGGGGCAGGGGCTGGGGAAGTGGGGGCAGGCTCTGCTGGCTCTGCCCAGCCCCAGGGGGACTTCAGAAGACCAACATGTTTGGCAGCTACATTAGAACATGTATTTAAAAGCATTAAAAATATCTGCTGCTATAAAACCTCCGCCGCAGGCAGGAGTTTATTGGGAACCACGAGTGTGCGGTGCTGGGGGCATCTCTCAGGCGGGCAGGACGGCCCCCCAGGCTTAACTCAGGACACCCCCAACAGGACTGAGCGGCCCCATGGCCCCTCGGCCTGAGGCCACTGAGCTCCGCCTGCCCCAGGCTCCCTGAGGAAGCAGAGTCCTGACTTTCCGGAAGAACAGGACACGGAGGCTCTGGGTGGCTCCTGAGACCAGAGCACGCCTTCTGCGATCCACAGCTCAGCACCGTCCTTCTGGCCTCCCAGCCCCGGGCCGAACGCTGGGGTTAATAAGCAGAGCAGTTATTCGGCTCCTGGCAGGAGCTCCCCCGTTAGTTTCCAGGTTGTGAGCACATTCATACTTAAGACTGTTTCTCTTTGTGTTTTAAGGGTCTGTCTCTGTAGTAAACTGAAATGTTAACAGAAATGCAGCTGGGCCCCTCCTAGCGTGGGGCGGGAGGTGGGCCTCTCGGTGGGTGGGGCTAGAAGGTGGCCTTGGAGTGTCCGAAGATGCAGATGGGGAAGTGCTTCACGTGCGAGGACCACTGCGCGGCCAGCTGGAAGAACTTGACGTCGCTGCACTCCACCCCGTCGATGAGGACTGTGGGAGAGGGCTGCCTGACCGCCTGCCCCCTGCCCACCCTGTCCACCTGCCTGCCTGGCCCACCAGGCTGGGTAGCAGCCAGGGGTACAGGATGAGAAGGAGCCCCATGCTGGAGGGCACCAACACTTTCCTCAGGGACTCGGGGGCTCCAGGGTCACGCTGGCTCCTGAGGGACGCCGTTCCTGCCCCTGCCCTTCCACACCTCAGAGCCCTGGGGGGTGAGGAGGGCAGCACTTCCCCCAGGGCTGCCTGCAGGTGGGAGGAACAGACCCCACCGCCTCCTGCCAGGCGCTGCTTGTCCACATCCATCTCCACCTGCACAGGTGGGAAGACACTGGGAGCCCCCTTAAAACAGAGACCCCTGTGGGGAGACAGGGCCATGCTGACCTGGAGGTCATCTGACCCGTGCTCAAAAAGAGGAAAGCCTCTCAGAGCTGTTTCTGAAACAGGTACTTGCAGAGTAACTCCAAAATGCTTTTAAATTACAAGTCACTATTTTTAGGCTGGGTGTGGTGGCTCACACCTGTAATCCCAGCACTTTGGGAGGCAGAGGTAGGCGGATCACCTGAGGTCAGGAGTTCGAGACCTGCCTGGCCAACACGGTGAAACCTCATCTCTACTAAAAATACAAAAAATTAGCTGGGCGCAGTGGCGTGCACCTGTACTCCCAGCTACTTGGGAGGCTCAGGCAGGAGAATTGCTTGAACCTAGGAGGTGGAGAGTGCAGTGAACCAAGATTGCACCATTGCACTCCAGCCTGGGTAACGAGCAAAACTCTGTCTCAAAAAAACAAAAAACAAAAAACAAAAAAACAAGTCATTATTTTTAAAAAGCAAAAAGGGTTGAAAAATTCTTTCTCAGCATTTGGAAAGTTGTCATCCTCACCGAGGGCTTCGTGGAATGTGCGTGTCACAGCAAGACACTGCAGCTCCTATGGTGGACTCCAAAGCAGCCCTGCTATGCTCTCGCCCACGTCCCACTTTCCAGACCCCGGGGCCCGTGGCGCTCACCCCGCAGCATGTTCTGCTGCTGCCTGGCAGTGCAGATGAGCCGGCTGATGCCCTCGATGCACTGGCTCTTGGACTCCACATCTTTGTCCTTCGCTTTCTTGGGCAGAAACATCACTGGAAGGAGAAAAGAGGCCCTGCTGTCATCTTGCTGCTCCTTCAGGGCCAGGGCTGGGGGTACGTGTGGGGGAGGCACTGGGGGCTCAGCTGGCCACGGCCCCACTCACCTAGGAAACCTGCCTTCCACGGTGACAGAGGAGTTGCTCTCCTGCCCGCCCAGCTGGCCTCTGCCTGAGGCCCTGGTCAGAAGCGCCTGACCCTCATTGCCTTCAGGGTTTAGGCTCCCTCACCCCACCCGCCCCTGCCTGCGCACGTGGGCTGCCCGAGGCCAGCCAGGAGGCTGCCATCCCTGTTGACTTCGAGCCGCCCGCTCCCGCCGAGCTGCCCTTCTGCGCCGTGTGGCCGTATAGCCTGTCCCACCTCACCCTTCTTGTTCTTCTCCTTGGTGACCACGGTCATGGACATGGTGGGCGTGGCCGCAGCCTCGCCGCTGCTGGGCAGCCTGCTGACCTGGAGGGACCGGAAAGTGCACTTGAGCGTGTTTTTGGTGACAGGCAGGTCCTTCTTCTCGGCGTCCCTCTTCCTGTCCGCGGGCTGTGCTGTTGTCCAGTAGTCCACCTGCAGCCCCATCAGCTCGGCGCCGACACCCTGGCTGGGAAAGGCAGAGGGAGGCGCTCACACCTGCATCCTTCGGCCTAGTGATGGGGACATCACTGTCCCTGTGACAGGCCAGGAGGTGACAGCCAGCACCTATGCCAACTTGCCAGCAGAGGAGGGTGCTTGGAGCATGCTCTGTGGAGCTGTTCACATGCCCAGTCACCCCCAGAAGGGTCCTGCATAAATCACAGGGAGCCATCCTGTGTAGATTACAGGGAGCCTGGCGACAGGAGAGCCCCGGCCTGGGGGGCCCGTCCACCCACTCTCCTGGCGACAGGAGAGCCCCGGCCTGGGGGGTCCGTCCACCCACTCTCCAAGCTGTCCCTTGGAGTCTTGAGGGCCTATGTGAACCAGCTCCCTCAGGCGCAGCCTGGAAGGAGCCAGCGGTTGGAAACACAGAGGCAGGGGGTCAGGGTCTGCTGTTGTGAGCCCTGCACGCAGCACCAGCACCATGCCTGGCCTTGGGGCCTACACCCTCTATGGCTTAGTTACACTTGAGTAAGGTCTGCTTCAGAGAGACCCACGCGGGCTGGCGGGGCCTCAGCACAGCTGTCAAAGCCGACCCCATAAGGACCGCCTAGAGACTCTCATCTCTTGCGGCTTCTGCCCTCAGCTTGTTTTTAAAAGCCCCAATGTGTGCAGAGCTGAGAGACAGCCCAGCACAACGCCCATGTTTATTCACTGTGTGGGAGTTTCTGTCCCCTAGAGGTCCTGCCCCCAACCCCTGATCTGTGGCAGGAGGTGGCCAGAGAGGCCCCAGCCGTCCTGCAGAGCCCCTCCGTCTGCATGGCCGACAGGCCAGGTGCCCTGGGAGGTGGATGTGACGTGCGGGAGGATGACTGAATCAGGCAGCACGTGGTGGGGTGGGCAAGTGAAACGTGCTGAGCCGCGCGGCGCCTTTACCTGGGGGAGGACAGGCCTCCGCTCACCGATGGGGAGGAGGGCGGGGTGGGCGAGGCCTCCTTGGCCGCAGGAGACGTGGACGGTGGGGTGGAGGAGAGCGCGCCAGAGCCCGAGGGGGCTGCGTCGTCCGAGTCGCCTTTGGGGAGGAGTCATAGGGCAGGCTGAGCCCACCTGTTGCTCTGCCCAGGTGGCACCAGGCCCTCCGGAGCAGGATGTGGCCAGGCGGCCAGGCAGACCCTAGGGGTGGGCAGGGCGGGAGTCCCCATTGGCCTGTGTGAGATGGGAGGGTCTCAGATGCTCCTCCGTTTTTGGATCACGGCCCTGCCAGCCTTGATGTGGGGCTTCATGACAGCAGTTCCCGGAGGATGAACCCCCCACAGAGCAGAAGCACCACAGCAAGACTGGAACGTGGCAGCTCTCAGGCCCTGAAGGGTTGGTCTGGTCTGCAGGACCAGAGTGACTGTGCTCCCGCGGCCCACCCACGGGCCATTCACAAGGCCTCAGGGTGGGATGGTGTTACCTGATGTGGCGGAGGATGGCTCCACAATTCCAACCTTCACAACCTAGAAAATAGGCACTGGCTGGTGAAAGCCGTGGGGTTCAGCTGGCCACTGCCTTCCCAGCGGGGCTCCTGCCTCCCACCATGGCCACCACTCCCATGATGCAGGAGCAGCCACGTGGGGACAGACAGTGCTCAGGGTGCGTGGCCTCAGCAGGAGGGACTGCTCTCTCCCAAAGGCGGCCCTCGGGGCAGCTGCAAACCACATGTCCAGTAAGACCAGTATGCTGGTGAAAGGGACCCTGGCAGACCAATGGGGATAGGCCCCGGGCCTGGCAGGCCCTGCATGGCAGCCATGAGCCACAGGTGGTTGTATAGATCTACCGTGAATCCCAGTGACTCAGTGGGATTGCATGGGAAGGCCTGTGTGCCCGAGCATGGCATACTCTTGTCACCAGAGAAAGCTCCTTGGGCAGCCGCTGTTCAAGATGAACTCCACCCTCCTAGAGGGCCAGTCATCACCCCAGAGCCCTCAGCAGACCCAACCACTGCACGATGCACGGAAAGGCCTCTGTTCCACCAGTGGGGAAACTGAGCCCAGAGACCCTTCCCCTGCCCGGGCAACCCGTCTGCCAGGTCCTGTGGGTCTGTCTCATGGCAGACACCTGGTGGGAGGGAGGCCACACAACAGGATGAAAAGATGGGCAGGGAATAGGCTGTGGAGACCCAGGGCTGGCAGGGAGATGGCCTGGCTGGCAGAAGCAGCCCTAACCCTGGGCAGGGCAGGAACTGAAACCCACACACTGCAGGCCACAGACCCAGAGTGGACACTGGGAAGCTCCCGGGGCCTTGGCTTCCTAGAGGACAGAGGCACCCTCTC